AATATGGATTGAAAACTATACGACATAGATAAAGTTGTTTTACATTAATTTAAAACTTCAAATAGGATCAAATCTAACACCATTTAATCTCATAATGTAGTGAACGAAAACACAAGTGAGACTAATCGAACATATTGAAGTATAAAATTACAGAATGTTTCACTATACAGTAAATACTTATGCTGCAAAATATCAATCCATTGTCTCATACTTGACTGTTTCTTTTTTTGCAAATATCAGTCCATCGTCTTAGATTTGATTGTTTCTGCATTTTCATACTAATTGCATTCGGTTTCCGTTCTTTTTTTCTCGATCTTCTACTGAAGTACATTCTATTCCTGATTGTCGTTATATCCTACTTATATGAATATAAGTTGCTCATACCATAATAGTATTGAGTCAATGATAAAGATATATCGTTACTCTACTCACATTTATTATTAGTGTTTATTATTGACTGATACTTGTAGATCACCAACGTAGATGATCTATGTCGAAATGATTGGAGGCCTACTCGAGTTAGACGTGAATGGTGTGACAAAACTAGCTAACGTCGAAGTCACATCTCGTGGTCAGCACCTTACGTGGACTACTCCATTGACGTATCAAGGTACCATAGATGCTTTGAAGACTGTACAACACAGAAGACGTTATTACAGAAATATATTAGTTAAAGTAGATACAAGCGAAAGTGAGACCACTTCCGCATGGGCCAGTCCATGGCATACGATTAACTGATGCGCGTTGGTTGTACATGACCTTGGCAGGGAGCGATGATATGTTCGACATTCAGTGATCCAACTGCCGGATGATTTGGCTAGGGCTCAGTGACATTTCACTAGCCCTACATACTGAAACTTATTTTAATGGAAATGTATCTGGCTGACTTTCTACATAGAAAATGGAATATGTATCGTGAATTTCAGTAATAAACATTATTCGATATAAAAAAAACCAAAACTGGTGTGTTCTTATTTTTTTTACAAGTCCAATCAATTTCATTGGTAAAAACGTCCAGAATCTTCAGAACTATCAATTGTACTTCAGACTAAAAGTTAAAACAATCTAACTGAGAAAAATGTGTTATTTATTTACGGATTATTTGTAGAAAACATTAGTAACAATAAGGGAAGTTGATTTCCTAACCTGACTTAATTTTAACTACTTATATACCCATAGACTTATCATTAGATAACTTTAAAAGAACGTTAAAAAGCAAAACATCCTAAAGTAACATCCTTCTTCATGCTGGGAAACTAGATGAACGAATGAAACAAGCAGTAATTATTCCCAATTGTCTACTCTTGTATCCGATTCGCCTAACATCTGATATCAAATATTGAAAATATTCAGCCAAGTTATTTCTCATTACTTTATCATAATGAAATATAGATCACAGGCGAGACTATAATTTATGGACGAACCAATCAGATTTACGATAACAGGTCTTAGATTTTGGCGCGAAATTCATTCATCCATTCAGCTAAATAAAATCTGGTCATTATAGCTGATGTCATTTCGTGATGAAAACCCTAAATCTAATTCCTAGCATTCACCATCATCAGTAAATTATAATACGAATTCGTCACACTAATTGATAAGCCACATTTGGTCCTAGTTATTAAGTAGAAACTCTCAAGGTCACTCTAGCATCGCTCAATGGTCATCCATAAATTATAGTCTCACTGAAGAATGAAAAGAAAAATAGTAAAATGATCATTTGAAGAGAGAAGAACATCATAACAACAATTACACAGAAGTCAAATTCCATTACAAGGTCTATTCTATTTAATTATAGTACTGTAAACATTTTTTTAAAAACAATTTTTTTGTAATCACCACAACATAAACAATACGACCTTAATTGTACACAAAGAAAAATCTAATACACTTGATAATAACAAACAATCTTTCACTTATCTAATTAGTAATAACAGTGTATATACATTATAAATACAAAAATAAAATGAAGTGAAATTATGTGGTGTAATAGTTTCTATTTATGTCTGAATTATCAATAATAATGTTATAACGGTTGGTTTTCTGCGTTTACACGTATGGGACGTAAATTTACCTTAGATGATTATCTACACTAGATTTCCTCCCAGTATTCTATTCTACAGGACGTCAACATAACTCAGATCAAGAAAACGTGATTAACCTGACTAGAACGTAAATATATTTCCACACCATAAACACGACCCAATCCAACAGCAATGAACAATCAGTAATAATAATTATTATAAGGATAGGGGAATATATAACTCATTTAACACCTGTGAGACTATCTACATGTCTGACTAAGCAAACAATCAATCATTATCATTCTCGCCTACACATCAAACAATTAGACTAGTTGAATATGATTGTAATAATAAGAATTATTTTGTGAGTAACTCATTGTCCTTACTTACTTACGCCTGTTACTCCTCGTGGAGGAGCATAGGCCGCTCACCAGCACTTTTAGTCCAACCCTGTGTTGGACAATCCTTTCTCTAATGCTGAAGTTTCTTATCTCAGATATAGAAGATAGTTCATATACATTATCTTGCACTATTGATCATTATGTTTTAATAATAATGCGCTTCAAAATTATTCCTATTTTATTCAAGATAAGTTTACATGAATAGGGGATCAGACATCTTATAATCCAACATAGGTCTGTAATCCTGTATTAATCTCGATGACCAATAACAAGTAGATTCAATATAGATTTGTATTCGCAATAACTGAACCAACTAACAGGTACAACGACAATATATATATAGCCAAACTGCAATAAGAATTTGTTACAATGCTATATAGTTAAGAATCCAGAATTATTGATACAACTGGGCATATGATAACCAATAGAGTAGAACTAACACATCTAAGGGTCATACAATTTTTATTAATCGTGAGTAGTTCAAACGAGTAAACAGTTGTTTGAATCTAACGTCAAGATACATTACCGCACTTTTTCAGCTGTTTCCTATAAAAGAAAGCAAGGAGTGCTGAAATGGATTTGATGACAGAAGGTTTATTGCATTCTTTACATTTTATTGACCTTCATTGAACAATTTTCGTTGTAGCCTAATACAGTTATATGCATTTATATACCATTCAATGTGTTCTTGATTTTAAAGTGGACATTTCATTAGTTTTAAAACTAATCCATTTTATTAGTACCAAATGACTGATTTGATTTTGGCCATCAAATCGTTTTTGAAGAATATAATTATTAGGTCTATCGAAGCGTCCAGGTCACCCAACGATTTGTCTACAGTAGCGGTTCTTTATTGAATAATACACAAAACTTAGTTACAAACCTCAATTTGTAAGGTGTCTGTGGCATTTAACGCGTCCTTTTGGATGAAGTAAAATGGAATTCCTGTAACGGTAACATAAAGAATAATTACAACATACGATAGTGCAAAGGATAGCTGTGTCTAAACGTGATAACAGTTTATCAACAAGCAAAACCCGAACCAAGAGCAAAACAATATGGAAACTGTTGCGTTTAAACAAATGTACAAAACTGTAGATAACTGCTGCAGTGATTGAGGTACAGTAATCATAATGATAAATACAATAAATGTTATAAGTATATGTGAATATTTCAGAATATTACACAACAAACTTGAGTTACAACATAGATGTAAATATTGCTGGAAATACAACTATTTACTGAATGTAAATAAGTAGTATAAAACAGTACGCAAAACAGCGGAAGAAAAGTGAGTAGGAACAATTTAAAACAAACTTAACAATAACGTTCATAAAAGTTAGTTTTATTTATGCTAATAAAAAGCCGAGCACATCCAACTGATTCGCCTCGCTTTGTAATCTAGAGAGAACCTAAGCTACACTATAAGATCTATTCTATGGATACAATATATAATATGTCTGAGACATTCTAATGAATAGAAATTGGAATAAGTGACATTTCGTAACTTAGTGAAATCCTTTTCTTCAGAATAAATAAATAACTAAATAACATTATTTGTTTACCCCGAGAGAATGGACTACACTAAGTCACGAAATTCCAATTTATACATATTGTTATTGCAGTTCCATTGTATCTGGTGACCAATAATAGGTTCATATGCCAATTGTTCCCTTAGGATGCTGGAGCTCATGTACACCATTGGTTTGGAATCAGGGTGATCCAACCCCCCTAGATGGATCCTCCATATCCATCAACCCGGTTAAGGTGCCGGACATTCGCTTTTCGTCCTCTTAATTTTGTAAACAACAGTGATGCCGCAGTGGTGTGTGCTACTTATATCGACATAAGTAGTATATGACGTTAGTCAGGGACAGAATGTCCGGCAGCAGAGAGACAAGATGATCGAACAGTAAAAAATGAAAACCGAATACAATTTGTATGAAAATGCAAGAACAATGTATTCTGAGTCATTTTAAGACAAATGATGGACATCTTGCAAATTAAGCATTTACTTTATGATTGTTAGATTTTAATAGCAAGTCCTGTAATTTTCTGTCAAATACATTCGGTTGTCCCCACTCGTGGCCTGTGCACTACATTACGACAAGGCAGTGAGTAAGACTTCCCTGGCAGTGGTTGTATAGGTGTGGCCATGCGAGAACATTTGGGAGCTTTTTGATAGACAAATTAAATTTTCACCTTCATTTAACGGTATACTTTTTGATTTCTGATTCTAATAAATTATGAAAACTTGACTGATGAACTAATAAATTTTGCTCTCAAAAGAAAAAAATTTCTAGTGTAGGGGTTGTGGAGATTATTAAGTTCTTGATTGAGATCATGAACCGACTGATGTTAGACCACCTTTGGAAGCCTGGAAGCACTGGACGGCCGTTTCGTCCTATTGTGGGACTCCTCAGCAGTGAGCATCCACGATCCCGCTCACGGGATTCGAACCCAGGGCCTTCGGTCTCGCGCGCGAACTCGTGAACAGATCTCTCAATTGCACTCAACAGTTTTAATATACAATCACTGTTTCCGTTTTAAAACCTCAGCTAAAATAACAGACTGTTTACTAAAACAAGTTTTTTTTTTATTCTTTCAAAATTGAAATATATACAAAAATCAAAAATGTTATAAAAAGGAAGGACGTAAGAAACTACAACTGAAGCAGTCGGCTGACGATTTGTACATATAAAAAAGAAGTATAATTTTTGCAAAGTTTTGTAGAAAAAAAATCTTGAAAAATAGCATCCGTTTTTTCCTATGTATGTTTACAAATTAATGATTATAGAATGATAGTTATTGTATGTAAACATCATCTATATAACATATGTATTAAAATTAAACAGATCAATAGACCATTGAATGGACGCAGTATACAACCACTTGCATAGACATCTAAAATAGCCGGATTCGCATAAGGATTACGTCCATCATCCCATGACATTGGACATACATCAAATTGATATTCATCTTCTGTTAATTCTAATAATAAAGATGCACCTTCTTCTGGTAAAGATGATTCAGCTGTTTGAATTTTAGAACAGCGATTACCACGACCACGTGACATTAGGTATGTTCGAAAACTTAAACGTTTATAAATCCAACAACGAAAATTATTGCTTACCTAAAAATTCAAATTTAACAGAAAGAAAACGATATATATTTCGTGTTAAGAATAGTCAGTAATAATAATGGTAGAATAGAAAAGGATTGAATGATCCAAGATTTTGTTGAAATCGATAGTTACAATCAAAGAAACATCTATACAACAGTGTTTGAACTAATTATTTCGGCTAAGGTTATCCGTTCTATTCTCAAAGTTTAAGTAATGTATTGTATTCAGTCGTTGTTTCATTCATTATACACGTAAGTACTTAATAAGAAAGTTTAATTTCAGGCCCCAACTTGCAACTAATCTGTCGGACTGCGCTACATTGACATGTTCATAGCATAAAATTATGAATAACTCTAAACAATTAAAATACAATCCTTTATGAAATTAACACTTCGATACGCAATATTAATCTGACAAATGGATGGAAAATGAAAATGCTGGATAAATCGCACGGCTAGAACACTGAAAACACGGAGCATAACCCTAACTAAAATCTATCTATCTGGAAGTTAAAAGTGTAACTTCTGACCAGGCTAATTATTATTTTCGCTTTATTGTGAAATTACAAAATAAATGTAATAAACATTTTTAAGGGAAGATTTAAACTTCACCTCACTGAACAAGCAAGTGGATATCAGGACTCAGTAGATAAGTGGATGATGCGATGGCGTTTAAAGCGAATGGTACTGGGCTCGAGTCACAGACTGCACATTACATCGGTTGTCTTCTTCCTTGTTCTAATTGGGGCTTAAACGGAAGAGAATTCTACATGGACTATCAAGCGGTGGAATATTATGCCATTGGGTCTCTGGTAATAGTGTTACTGTCTTAAGCATAGTGGATCAAAGTCATATCAAGTCTTTTCTCAGTACCTTTCGTAATGCAAGGATCAATGGAATATCTACATGTTACGGATCTGAAAACCAAAATTCAAATCATCCCATTAAATGTGAAATTTTGTGATCGCATCATTTTGGTCACCAACTGTAAATAAAGCGCTAGAGTTTAAAGGTATTAAACTTACTGGATCTTCCTTATCATAAGTAACTAAAAACGACTTAGTGTCTTCCATCCAATAACCGACACATGTAATATAATTATCAACAACGTTATATTCAGATATAGGTTGACCTGAAAAATCCAATCGCCAACATTTTTGTACATCAAGCTGTAATGTTTTCGGATCATTTAAACAAGCTTCAATATTAGACTCCCAATAATTGTAACAAAGGACCTTAAGGTAAAAGACAAATATAAAATCAGACTGAATGAAATTCGAATCAATAATAAGTGAATCAATCTTTCCTACCTTTAATCATCAAGCAGTTTTCATTATTCAATAAGAAAATGTCAATATTCTTGGATATATGGGTGAATTAATTAGGCGATTACTTAAATTGTATTGGCCGATAGATTAGTTATACTCTCAAGTATATTTATTGGTTAGTGTCTGTATAAATCCTCCATTCTTGAAGATTTATAGTGTCATTTTCAAAAGTCTCACAATTACAAACCAGCTTAGTATCCGTAATTGTGTACATACTGTAGCGCTTAACTGTTGAGTCATGTTTATGTATTTAACGATAAAGGCAGTGGTCATTTTAATCAGTACAGTACCTGGGAATTTATTTCTAATTTACTGTGTGACAATACTTTTTTGTTGAGATTCATTAATTATGTACTCCTGTGTAAGGAAATTTCGCAGGTTTTGTGAGCTAAACTCATTCTAAAATACATCAGTTGTTTGAAGAAGTCAGTTTTAAGTGCCTGTTAATGATTCGGATATATCGATATACTCCACGATAAATTTACAAAACATCTTTTAATAAAGTTAAATAAACATAAGAGCTGTTAAAACATGGCTGTTAGGTATATTTCCCCATATTTACGTAAGAAAAGTGTATTCTGATAGATCTTCCACTCAAATATATGTTGTAAATAAACGATTTAGGGTTTTTAAGGATTTTGTCAGTATATACCAGCTCTTCGCCCACTTCACTCTCTCCACCTTCTCTGGACTGTTAATTTAGCTTGTTTGTGGAGAATGTTGAAACTCATAGATCACATTACAAAGAAAACCATAAAAAAAATACTAGGAAACATTGAACAGGTGTTTTGTCCTAGTATGGGACTTCTAAGAGGTGCGCAATATTGCAAACTGATTGAGGTTAAACAAGTACACCATTTGATTTTGCTTCAGTGATCCGAAAGTCAAGCGCTCAGCGTGGGAATCGAAGCCTTTGGGTTGGATCCTTTATAGGTTCATGGTAGTCCCTTTTTGGGATGAAGTGACTATCCAGTGTTACTTGGCTTCCAATAGTTGTCTAACTAAAGTTGTTCGGTTATATTAACCGTAAAAAATGGATATGTTTACACTTCACAATGAAGAAAATAGATACTTATAATTCATTTGTTCGAACTCATTGCATATACGTAAATATAGTGAAGTTAAGCTTATGAAAATTAATTATGTAAATATTTTCTGGCTAAATGTGGTAATTCTTGGATTATTAGATAAATGTTTCGTTTTGATACCAGTCTTAATAATAAACTTTCACGAAAAAGGTATTCTGGTGAAATTGTAATCGAAAAATGCGATCACATCTGATGATTTACCAAAGCTTTTCGCGACTGGATGCTTTAGGAAAAAATATTTCTGCCATTTATATAAAACGGATAGTTGTAAATATTTTTGCTAAATGCTAGATTGTTGAAATAATAAATCTTACTTGAACCCATGGTCTAGGAGTCATTCCACCAGGTATTTTGGTTATATACTTTTCTTGTTGTTGACCACGTTGAATGAATTTAAATTTTCCTTGTATAGGACAATTAATTGGTGTTGGTGGATCTTGAACAAAATATTCATATGTCCATTCTATATAATTTAATGTAAATGAACTCCAATGACATGCTTCACGATATAAACGTTGCATATAACTTGCACCCATCGAATGACGCTCACGATGTAATAATGGAAACGGACGACCCATACGAAAACGTATTATATTATGGTGTCTTGGCATAAAATCCATACACATAAAATCTGTCTCACTTCAAAAACAAAAAAATTGTTTTTTAATGGTTAAAGTCCGGTTTATTTCACTAATTGTTATATACATTTCATGGGAATAAACATTGGATGAGCTTACAAAAGCAACTGATATAACTACATATCATGCATATGAATTGGAATAATAATTTATAGGTAAAATTCGTCGCATATTGATCTCATTAGGAATACTACTGAGAATGATGGAGGGCTGAAAAGTTTTTTCGTCATAGTATGGGACTCTTTAGCATTGCACTAAGGACAGAACCCTAAATATCACTAGTGAATTACTTCAAGATATCCCTAGATTTCTAGTAGGAAATCGAAATCGAATAATTTCAAATATCAATGACATTGGATGGTCGTCGCGCTATGTCGAAAATCATTTAAGGACGGAATTATACAGATGGGCATCTGCGTAGTGGTGATAGTGGTTAAGGACTCGCCATGGAAAGTGGTGCTAGGTCCGATCCCTAACGGCGTCAACATAGTGCGCAGCTCAGGAGTTCCATATTTTCACGAAATAGATGTCCAGTGCTCACTAGTTTTGAGTAGTGCGCCAGACGGGACAAATAAGTAATGAATACAAACTACAAACTAAACCAGTCTTCACAAAACCCCTTCAATTAAAATTAAAATTATTTATCCGAGAGCAACTACTGGCCTGTATATTTTTCTTAAAATCAAAGACAAATTTATGGTGCAAAAGACTGAATTCCGAAATCTTGTAATACACTTACCGTGAGTTTATATTTGATTTACAAAAGAAATTTTTAATACACAGGTGGGCAAATCTTATAAAAAGTTATATTAATTTAGATACCATGTCAGGTAGGTAACACAAAAATGTTCTAAAAATTTTTATGACAAAACTGATCTCCGTCAATTGTTAGTGAAATCAACATCCTCTTATTAAAATAACTATCAATTTATCAGTGAGATTATTGTAACTGTGCATAGTTTCTCACAACTGTGAATAGGAGTCATTTCTCTCGTTTTTATTACACAATACTAACTCTGGATTTCGGTCCATTACGTCCGACGTGAATTTTGAATTGTTATTATTATTATATATGGAAACACTTGTCCAAAAACGAAAGCTAAGATTTTATATTCAGACATTTTACGAAGTAAGAAACGTATCTTCTGTCAACGGTAAGTGAAGTTCAGTGGACGTTGCATATTTACAGAACTCATTAAGGATTCGTAGGTTTGTACGACCATTAGTTCACTATGAAGATTATGCTTAGCTGTCTTAATATTAAAAGAAAAAAGAATAATCGCGAAACCAAATTGTAGTCCGAAAGCACTGGATTTTTAAAAAGATATTGCGAAGTTCATTAATAATGACTGAAATCAGGCGACTACATCCTTTTTCAGAATTCATTGAGACTATTTTAGTACCCAATAAAGAAAAACGAACATGTTTTAAAATGTTTAGCACAAAATCACATGTTTTCTCGAAGAGGAATACACTCAAATGTTGAAGGTAAATTAAGTGATGAAGGTGAGTGAAGTAAGGTTTTGTAACCAAGTATAATAAGTTTATTTAATTATTTGTGGAATGTTTTGTCAGATTTTAGCGTGAAAATGGATTATAACGTTAGAGTAACTAATCCTGACAGTATATAACAATGCTTTAAGCCAACTTGTCAACTATAAAAAGGTAGCCATAATTTTCTTTTTAAAGATCTAGTTCAGAAAACTATCCCAATGCCGTTTCTTAATCAAAACTACTAGGATCAACACTTTTAGTTTTTATGGAAAATCCATTTCCAACACCCGCGTCGTAATATTATCAAGAAGTCAACCGCGGTTGTTGGGCAACAAAGAATTAAAATTGAATTTATATTCTAAAATCATGAACTGATCAATGTTAGCACACCATTGGAAACCTGAGAGCACTAAACAGCTGTTTCACCATAGTATGTGATTCCTCAACAGTGAAGATCCAAGACCCTGCATGTGAGAGTCCAACACGAGACCATAGGTCTTGCACGTGGAAACCTAACCTCTAAACCAGCGAGCCGGCATTCGATGGTGTTAATGTCTAGAGTTTTGCTTCGAAACGATCATATATATCAACTGACGAGCTTATGATATCTCTTAGCGCGATACTAATTAGCATTTCTGATGAGGTTAGGTAGTCTGTTTCAAGGTTGTAAACGTTCCGATGATTCCTATCAGCAAGCAAGAATCTTAAGTTTTTTACCAATTAAGTTCGAACATATAAAACGTGAGTTAACATCAACCAGTGATAAAAGCAACAATGGATGCATTTTTGAAAAACTCAAATGATTGTATAATAAAAACTCACCATTTACCAAGAGTGATAACGGTCATTAAATAACGAGACTCTTGTTGTTGTCGGCAAACAAAATAAATATGGTCGTATAAAAAGTTTGCTTGCTTTCGTTTCATATATATGTGTGTAGCATTGATATCAACCTGTGGTAAGAATAAAAGATTTGGAATAATTTACACTAAATTTCAAGTCCAATTTCCCGCAAACTGATACTTTTACGCTTATCACATTGTCTGTACATGAAATAAGATTAATTTAACTCACATAAGGACATATGTCTAGAGGAAGTTTGCTGAGACGAAAAAAATACCAAACATTGCTTTATTGACTGAATAAAGTCATTAGATCAACATGAACTTCAATACGACGGAACATGATCTATATTATCGAAGAGGAGGTAGGTTGTTGACTAAAGCCCTCAGCTTTCAACTTCCGATTCAGATGCTCAAATCCCATTTCCACTGGCTTATATACACGGACAGTATAACAAGCCCCTAAACAAACACTAGAGCTAAAAAACTGGTAAATAAACCTTTAGCTGCTCTATCAGTTACAATAAATTTTAAGACCACCTGGTTTTAGATGTTTGAAAAAAATTATTTCCAAATTCTACTACTCTTTATTGATAGATATGTGAGACTTGTGGTCTTGAAGGTGAAGGTAACACCTGTAGTTTTATTTGTTAACATTATCAACCTCATTCATCTAACAATGTGGTACAAACTACCCACTTAGTTCACCAGATCTAAATCAATATGTGCATATGTATACTTGAATATCCATTAATTTTTTAACGTAATATGCTTATTGTGACCTAAATTTACACACAAAATAAATGTCAGACCTAAATGAGGATCAGTGATGACTAATGTTTTAAGATCCTTCGGTACACATAGACACTATTATCTCTTTCGATCTTAAACCGAATAGTTTAAACTGTTAAATATAGATAGGTCGTTTTGTAAGACTCAATAAAGTCTATGACGTGTAAAGTCTTCTGGACCTACGTTCAAACAAATTATTGATTATTATGGGATGAAATCGCTAACTCACTTCGGCTAAACAAACATTGAAAACTTGGGAGCACACGATAGTTTTTTCATCACATATTTTGGACTATTCAGCAGAAAACGTTCATGAACACAAGCAAGAACATACTCGGGGCTCCTAGGGATCGCTAAGAGCGCGTCAACTTTAAGTTACTCAGTTGGTATCCAATGTTCCACATCTCCAGATTAGTTCAGTTGGGGATATTTTATGATAACCATTTAAACATATTGGAAATATGGTTGAAATAATTCGATCTAATTTTCTCAATGCTGATAATGCAATGAGAACATGGTTATTATGAAAACGATTACTTGTAATATATTCCTTGTGTAAAATAAATGTGATTGTACAGCTTTAACAATCGATATCGTTGAAAAGAAAATTAAATCATCTTTATTTCTTTCTTTCAATGAGTGAGTGGATCTATTTCACTATTTAAAACGAAATTAATAAAAATCTGTTAAAATCTCATTTGCCACAAATGTCTTCTTAGAATAAGCACACAACATAGCAATGTTTAACTCAGTATTAAATCGGCAAATTTTTATACACTATTTTTAAAAATCTACCAATATAATTAATCTTACAGAAGTTTGATATTCACTGGGGTAAAACCAATGACCACTAAAATTAGTCGGTAGTTTACATCCCGGTTGCAGTTCACTTAGTTGGCTTGTAGGATCAAATGCAGGTCGCAGTTCTAGTCTGATAGGAGCATTATTGTAATTATATAAAACTTTACAGTCTGAGTTAGTTGACATACCTGAAAAGAAGGCAAATTAAATTAGTTTGCTCAAAAGACATGTGGTTTGAGATACAATTGTTTTTAACGAAAATATTATGGTAAAACTCATGCTCAAGCATGTTCTTTTAAGCGAATAGTCTCATATAAGATAATCTGAAGTTAAATTCTTATTTTCTGTAAACTTAAGCATTTCAGTTTTTTGGAACGTTGACGGTGTCATATTCACCATATATATTCATGACGCAGACGATTTGATGTGTTAACGGTTTTGTGCAAAGTAGGACGAAGGGACCTTTCAGTGGTAATATTAAATAAACGCAGTAAACTGCCAACGTTATTTGCGCACTAATTTTACTAGAACAATATGGTTAATGTATTTTGGTCGGTTACCTGCTCACAAAACAAAGTAAACGTACCATTTAAATGTAGCAACAATATACCACTGTATTTATGAACCAATAAACCAAAGCTATTTTCTATGTTAAACCGACCATTCGTCGGTAAGTCATTCAGATTTAGTTCAGATTCAGTGAAGTGGTTACATTCAAAGTAACTACTAAGATACGAGTTGACCGACACCAGCTTGAAACAAAATGAATTTCAGAATTGATAACCCGGGTTATTGACATTGTAATAACCAACAGCTGAAGCCATTGTGATACAAATAGTACTCTTGTATTAGGAATACATTTTATCTCAATCTAAAGCCCATAAATGAGTTATATCAGGTATCCTTAACCTTCTAAGACAGTGTCTATTTTACCTATAAAGCTACCACTAAAACGATTCTACTTGTAACTAACCATTTAATATATATCAAATCTTCTTAAAATTATCTTAAAATTATAAATAAATTCTCGGTATACTGTTTTGTATATACCCATTTTTAATTAACTAAGTCATAGCATCAATCTTTTACAGCCTTGGTTCAGTTAGCACATTGATTGAAGCCTAACAATCACTCAGTATTATGAGTAACTGACAAATACTTTTGATAGAGCATTAAACGCTAGACTGAAGTTGGTCAAACTAGCAAGGATTTTATCTTGCAGTAGTTATAGTAACCCAATGTTCGCATAGTGGAAGGTTGGAAACAGTGTGGGAAAGCGAATTGCAACCGAAATTCATTGTATATTTCTATCTACAATTGTCAGTGCTAAGGTCTTCTAATGATGAAAAGGATTCGAATAGACTTGAATGGCTAAACAACACCTGTCAAAGTCGAAGGCGCAAAACGTTACTCTTAATCTGTAAAAAAGAAATTTTGAAAGTCTACTCTAATTTTGAGTTCCACCACCAACTTACCCCAATAATATATATCTTGAGGATTTTGTTGATCAATACGTGTAGTTAAACACCGGTATCGGAATCTCAGCTGGTTAGTATCATAAGCAATTGCAGCCCAAATAGTTCCACTTTTATCTGTCCAGCGTCCGTAACATCGCCAAATATTTGCTTTTCCAAAAACTATATTGGGATCTTCAAGGATCGACTGATCTTGAAAGTTTGGGCAGTAACCAAACGTCTGTTCTAAGATGGAATTATCTCTAAGCGGAGACCCTTGTCTTTGACATGCTTTTATTAAACTAAAAGGACTACTGCATAATCCAGTACTTCCAACAATTCGATAGTCAAAGGCGAAAACGCCCTCAATAATGCTTTTACAATTAAAATCCGAGTAATCCTCACGAGAACGAACGAAGCCCGTCTCTAATTCCGATGTAGCAAGTGATCCACATATAGTAGATTCATTTGATCCGAATTCAGGTCTTTGACATTGACCTGAAATCAAAACCATATATTTTTGTTGAAAAACACATACTTCGTCTATACTGTATAACATTTGGACTTCTGAATATGAAATCGTAGCAAAAAAAGCAATCTTTCGTCCTGAATGGTGTAAAATTATTTTGACGAATAACTTACATGTTTTTATAAACAACAACGATATCCTCTACAGCATCTGAATTTGTATTTTCAGACACTATCATATGACATGATCCCCATAAACTTTCTAAAGTTTGTATAAGTTGTGATTTCAGGATTTGAGTAGTTGTTTCCTTCCCATTTTCAATAGAAAACAGAGTTTTCACATATTTCGCAGGAATTTCACAGGTGCCCTCAGTTTCATAATTTACAAATACTTAAGTATAAAGCTGATCATATCTCACACTTACATACTAACAGTGTAATAGCTAGATAATATGACCTCATAGCTTCCTGTTACCAGACGTTTGAAGACTGCGCTATTTACTGACAGTATATAGTTAGTGTACAAACGATTTTCCAACATCCAATATCTTTAGGATAACTTATTATAAACCAGGTGATTTAGTTAGACTCCCAAATTCATCGTAGCGATGGAATCAAAGTTTTTATAGCACACACTTGTGACGCGATGGCTCATCAGGATTTATGGTACCATTAGGATTGCTCGACAGGATTGAGCTTCGCCGTTCTGTTTGTTTAAAAGTCTGCATAATATCTGCTTCCCTCAAAATCAAATTTTAACTAACATCTTGTAATTGCGATTGTTTGTTAACGGCGTTCTAGCCACTTGACTGTTCAAAGCTTAGTAAATCTAAATCATTTAGGGAGTTGACACATTTAATAAGTATACATATTTATCTAAAACTATTGATGTCTCCGAATTCAGATGGCACAACACTTTCAGGGTGTCGACTGTAAGTACAGAATCCAAAAGTTCGAAAGTAGGGATTTAGATAAGGCTTCAAATCTGTAATTATTACCTATCTACTGTGTCAATATTGCTTTATCAGATAGTGAGTACGATCCATCTGTGTTTGTTTCAAACGGTCTTAGATTGTTGAGTTTATGCATTTCTTTATATACTGATTCCACGCGCACTGCTTAGCGCTAGTAAAGTATTGCTAGGACCTATCCTACAACTTATATTTCACAATTGTTGTGAAGAACTCATTTACTCGACCTGGATGCCACGTTGCCGTCATCTGTGATGCACAGTGTGACAAATTCACAAATCTCACAGACGTTGCGCACGATAACCTAAATAAGTCAGATTGTAATTGGGTATGGACGTACATGAAATATGACTGCTAGGGATTTTCTATGCAAAATAATCATTCTGTTGTTATGTCTGCGGAAAACTTAGTCAGCAACCTAAGAAAAGCAATTCTGAATGGGTCTTCGACAACAATAGTATTCACGCAAAACGCATCGATATTTGTGAGGCTACGCTAAAACTTGACTATTCTGTGACATCTTTTGTGTTGGATTCTTTCAGCATATTTGTGTTCTCCATCACTGGCTCCCTAGACATTTCTGTGAACCCCGAAAATTCTGTAGACGACAAGACCCATTCAGCAACGTTAAAAATGATTGTCTATCACTGTCAAAATGCTGAAAAGCTTAGGTCCTGTAGGACATTCAATTAATGAATTAGCTATGCAATCTACCTCCAAGATTATCCATTCAGTTAACAAAGAGCACGGAATTCTAAACGTAAATCAATTTCCAAACATAAAAGGACCCACGAATCAACACACCCTAAAACTTGGAAATTCAATCACGGTTTCTAATGTTTCTCTCATATCTTAGGCATTTAAAGACAGCGGTTGACTATGATCACCACTACAGGCAGACCACGTGCAACCTAACCGTCAAGATCCCCCTTAAGCCAAATATCAGAAGGCAGTCGAGGTGTATTTCTTGGCGAACTCGTGGTATCAAAAAATACAGATATCGTGCCAGGTTTAAAGTGTGGTTACTGAGAGTAACCAAATTTGTGCAAGGTGACAATGTCTTTATTACAGTTAAACAAACAAGTGCAATAAAACGGTAACCAGTGCAATTGGTTATAATAATTATTGTTTCCATTAAACCATCCGCTTCCTCTCGATAAAAGTCGGTCACTACAACTCCAAGCATCAACATCGTACAGAAAACCTTTGTCTCAAGCTCAAAAACGCTGCTGTTCATGAGTTTTCATAACTAATGTTTGAACAATAACTAAAATTTTAACGGAAAAGTTAACGACCACTTTACACTAAGTCGTCACATGGCCATCTGACAAAGAAAATTATAAATTGAATGATGAAAATGGGTAAACAATGATGAATTAATCGAATATTTTTATATTTCGAGAAATATAAGACATTGTTTTCTTGTGTTTTAACAATCCACAAAGTAACTATTTTCCCCGTGCTTATTTGGGTTTCCCAAGGTTACTGTTAGTTACGTAGTCAGCGTCATTATTTATTGTGATGGGTTGCGTCACAAAGTGTTCTGGAAAATGACAGTTTTGCTGCTCCTTTCGAATTTGAAATGGAAGTATCATTGTTTACTGAATTATAGCACTTACGGTGAAACTATAAATTATGGATTGCATTTGTGCGACTCGGGAATGACACTGAGAGTTTTCAACTGTCTACGACCAAACGAGGGTTATAAATTAGTGTAAGGAATTAGAATCCAGGTTTACATTTTAGGGTTAAGATTACAAATCAGATTTAGGGTTTTCATAACGAACTGACATCAGCTTTAATGTCAAAACCGTACTAAGGTAAATGGATGAGTGAATTTCGCGCCAATACCTTATACCCGTCTAATTATACCTGGTTGGTTCGTCCATAAATTATAGTTTCTTCAAATTTACACTGTATGTTTCAAAACTTATTTTATCATCATAGGAAACGGTTCATTCTTAGAGTTAAATCGACACGTCATATCACCAAATAAATATTTCAATGATTAACTAATTGTTCTTCTTTATAACTCCAAAGGATTCTAGCTAAACTTATTAGAAAAATAATAAACATATAATAGACTCTAATATGTATATAGTACTTGATATATAAACTTAAGTTAGATATCATAGTATCGTCCTTAGTCGAATCTCTATTCATATCAATATAAATTTTATCCTTCAGATAAGCTCTATTATATGAGCTTTAAGACATAAGTGACCATTATTTTACACAATTATATTCGTTTATACAAGTTCCTTTAATATTACCGGTTTTCTAGTCTTTTTCTTTATTGGATCTACTTAAATAGATACACGTGTATCTGTTGATATAAAAGATCTGTTCTTTTAACCACCCGGTTTGATCATCCGATCTAATTATCAGGACTGTCTGCTATTTCTTGCTTCCTCTTAGTTGTTCTGGGAACAGTCTTAATTTCTTTGTTGTTTTTATACTTCAAAATTTCCTACTGAACACTTCGCGGATGCTAAAAGCTTTTTGCTTATAAAACCATATGTAAAAATGAAAAAAAGACTTAGAATCGGACATTTGTCGTAGAATGACTAAAGATATAGAAATTTCGAATTCACCTCATAGAATCAGAGATAAGTCTCTTGAATTGATTTGCTTCGAATTGTATGTTCTGTAAACCTTCATATCTACTTTTAAATCGTCATAAAAATAATATTCTATTAACCGTTTTATTAGTTGTTTGTTTACTATGAACAAAAAAGTAATATGCCTGTTTGACGTTGATGGAACACTTACAAAGCCACGCAATATTATATCCGATCATATGACTGAATGTTTGCTTAAATTGTGCTCTAATATTCCCTTGGCTGTGGTTAGTGGTTCCGATTTCCAGAAGGTTTCTTCACAGATTGGGACACTCGGTAAGAATTTTTATAAATAACGCTTTTAATTTACGCATGAAGCTACCGAAAAATTTTCATATATATTCTCTGAAAATGGTTTGGTAGTACACAGTTATGGTCAGAAAATTAAAAGCACAGTATGTAACCAAGTTTTCTTCGATGTAATTTCATTTCAGAATATTGTTGAGCATGTTGGTGAGGACATCCTTCAACGTTTCATCAATTTCTGTCTCCAGTATATGTCAAACCTCTGGCTTCCGAGGAAAAGAGGAAATTTTATTGAATTCAGAAATGGTTTGATAAATGTGTGTCCAGTTGGACGAAGCTGTAGTCAGGAAGAACGAGATGAATTTGCCGAATATGATGCGGTAAGAATGATTAATATTCACTGAAAATTTGTAATCGTTCTTTACATACTGCAAAATAGGCCTTTCACAATCGGCTGTCCAACAGTTTCCCCTTAAGTCTTATTGTCAAACTTCTAAATCGATAGAAGTATCGTAATTTGTCCACTTGTTTCACAGGTTCTTGTACAATTTAAGGGAGCACGGTGTGTCTCTGTAAATGTGCATGTGATTCATATTTCTTATCGATACATATTATATTACAGTTGCACCCTAGTAACATAAAAAAGTTAGTTGCTGTTGCATGTCTACTTAACCTGTGCGTATGACTAAAATTGAAGTAAAATAAAATTGTTATTGTACACTTTATTCAGGATTTCCCGTCATGTAACATTTATGGAACAGTAGTAACAAATCATTTCTTAAAGATAGTCTTTCCTAATACCTCGTTATAAAAGTATGGTTGCATCTCACAGCAATTAACAATATGATTTTACCTGTGAATCTGGTACATGCATCAAGTTTTATTAATGGTACGAACTGCTTCTGGTTTTAGTACATTCCACTTAGCCTTCGTGCTTTGTAAGAGAACTTAAGAACCAAATGTTCAGACCAGATTGACATTATTGAATCGTCTATTTAGACAAACTTTGTCTACACCCTAAGATACGATTTATGATCAGAAATTTTTTATTCAATTATATGAGTGAATTCTTGATGTTAGATATCATCTCATCTTTTTAGCTCTCACTAACAATGTTTTCAAATGAATTAATGTGGACAACATCTATGCCATTACTAGTGTAATCTGTCAATAATTTGGTCTTTTTCCCTAAGCGCATTTATATCACCACCTATCGATGATATGGTAATGGGATGAATGTTTTCGACCGTTCTATTTTTTTTGCTTTAGAAACATAAAATTCGCGAAAATTTCGTCATGAAAATGCGTTCGGAATTTCATTCAAGTCCTTTAGAGTTCGCTATAGGTAAGCTAATTCATACAGTCAGCCGGTTATTTAGAAAGTAAAAACCTGGGATAAACATATATCGGGACAAGTTTCTACTCTACACAGTATATATAGTGGTTAAAAAAGATAGGTTAATGTCAGTCGCCCTATGCACACTTGTTTTTAAACATAGAGTAAGGCTTAAAGTTGAGGATACAGAATGATGAGTCAGTGTTGAATGTTTTGATATAATCATTAGGCCTCAGATCCAAATTCTGCTACTCTTGAGACAAATATCACTTATGATAGTGAATGATTATCATCGTATATCACGAGTTAACTGAAGTTGAAAAGGTCGACCATTACTTAGTTGTTTAAGGATGACATCTGCACCTGAACGCTTAAACACTAATGATTTCCTATATATGCTCAAGTCTTAGGCAGGCATCGCTACCGAATTTCATTTTCTCGATGCTATCTAGTTCTCAATTTTCTGTGACTGCAACTATCTCTAAATCGAAGTAGGTGAAAAAGGATTTGACCTTGTTTTTTAACACTTCATAGCTAAATGCTTTGTTATCATCTAAGCCACTGATCACCCGATACATTTCAGTATTGTATTACATTGTTTTATGATATTAATGAACACTTGTAATCATATAGTTTGTTTACATTTCTTTTGTAGGTGGACAAATTAGTATTGATGTTTTTCCAAAAGGTTGGGACAAACGATACTGTTTACAATTCCTGAAAGATTACGATACTATACATTTCTTTGGTGACAAAACAGAAGAGGTAAAAGCATTAAAATTAATGGGTGTTGACATATTTCATGCCTTCGTATTTTTGTGCATAACTGTCACAAACAAATTTGTATACAATTAGTAATTACGTTTTTATGATTCTTTTTATTTGTCCATTGTTTAAAAACACACAAGTGAAAACTTTTATATCCTGTATTTATCGAAATATAATGTATACTTAAACAAAGTCAAACTAGATTGAAATGTAAAAATAGGAGGATAATAATACAATTAATAGTATTCACACAGATGACACAATACATGGAACGAAATGATCATAAAGAAATCTAACGAAATCTGAGGATATTTTTCATATATTTTCGGATTAATGACCAACGAAGAACCAGATAATTCAATAATAAATATATATTTGTGATATCCCACTGAGTTTAAAATTGTATTTCTGAATGACATAATATCAGTCACTTAATTCTGAATGACTTACATTAAGTCACGGAACGTCAGAAATACAATTATCTACTCATTGGGGACATCACAAAAATATATTTATAATCAACTTTTTAATTAATTCTCAATTTATATGAAACTATCACGTTCAACCTTGGTATCGATACCTACAAGTAACTCAATGGTAACGTCTACAATGGACAGTGAGTAACACGTTTTTAAGCTTTGTGAGGGTAGTTATTTTCCCTCAAAATAGTAGATACAGATTACTGGGCTTCTTGTCATAATATTGACCAATCATCTTACATGTCTTTGGTTTACTTCGCATTATACAGTGTATTATTGCTTTTTACTTTTAATAATTCTGTATTCTCAGGGTGGAAATGATTACGAAATATTCAATGACCCACGAACCATCGGACATACTGTTACGTCACCGGAAAATACAGAAGCTCAACTCAAAGCGTTATTCCCCGAAAATTGTTAAACATGTATATAAATAAACACTTAGCAATCAGCAACGACAGCGGTTGGAATAAAAAAATATAAGTGCTAATTTATTTCTAAATTTTTTTATAGACAAAATTTTAGTTTACACTAGACACAGTTTAGTCTGTTTATTTGTTACTTTGACCTTTTGTTTATACTTAAATATTACTATTGTTTATTGGTCATTTATTCTAGTTTATATGTGATGAAGATACTTTATAGAACAATAATTATTGCTCTTTAATATTGCCATATCTTATCTTATTTTGTCTTTTTAACTCATTAGGTTACTTTTCCTGTAGAAACTGTATAGTATGTTCTTGTATTTGTGATTAGATATTAGTTAGTTGAGGTTTTCGTCTGTCTACAGATTTATTAAGTGAGTGGTGTAATATTGAGTATGTGAACCCAACTCGGTGGTTTTGTCTGACCAACACTGCTCATCCCATCAGTCAGCGACTTCAAAAACTCACTCCACTTTCTAGTTTGGTCACCTCTCAGCTTCCTTACAATCTATGTTTTGCACTAATAAGCATGGCTTGTCAAAGTAGGTGGTGGTTTGACCTACGTGCCATACATCCTAGCCACCTCATTCGGCGGAAATTCACAGTTTCATCAACCAATTTGCCACCTTTACTTAGAACCCCATACTTAGCCTCAACACTTCTCACTTCTTTTGTTTCATGACACGCCAGCAATAATTCGGAAACACCCATAATCATAAGATTTCAGCTTATACATATCTCCTATTTTCGTAGAGCGTGTTTCACAACTATAAATTGGAAAACAGTTAGCTACTGCTCATGATACTCGTCCTCTAAATGGTGATCAGTCATCTCACTTTTGTCACAAGTGACTCATGATTTCAGAAGCGGGTTGGACTTTTTGATAGTGTCCCCAGACTTCGTCAGGCTGCAACCCACCTGGGCTGACAAAGCTTTCAGGATAAATAAAGCTGTCAAAACGCTTAACTACTCCACCTTCTATTATTAGTTCTATGATAAACAAAGATCAGCTGCGAAGCAATGTCTTACATTCAAGGATGAAGAAACATGCCTGTATTATTGCTCAAGGTGATCATAAGACTTTTGCATTTTGTCAGTTTCCATCAAACAAATTATTTGCCTGAGAGTAGGACGAAAAACTACCACATTCAATGAATATTAAATCGGTAAAGGAAATTCGTTTTTGTTCACTGCAAGTTTACAGAAAGCTGCATATAGAGAATTTTGACGGCTGGAAACAAACATTCAAATTTACAGTAAAGAAATAAGTGATAGAGATAATATACGAAGAGTTAACTCTTCCAAAGACTTAAGATCGCGCAAAATATATATCAGCAGTTTAAAAATCCCCATGGAATATTCAAAAATGAAAAATACTTGAGCGAACAGTTGTTTTCAATAACTTCATCATCAGGCTCTACAGTTATAAATTTATAATTATGATATTTTACGAAGGCCAAAATAAGGCATCTACTATAGAATTTGACAATGTTATATGTTAAAAATGGTGAAAGTCTGCATATATTACGATATAAATACTTCAAAATTTTGTTATTTGAAAATTAGAAAGGTCATTTAATAATGGTCAGAATTATTTGGAGCAGTGTCCGGTCACAATCAGTAGAATAGTGATAAAAAAAGTCGTGTAAATAAAATGCATAGTAAGAGAATTTCATCTTGTCAGTTGTGATAATAATGATAATAGTAATATAATAATAACAATGATAATATTGTTGTGTGAATATAGTATGTAATAAGAGGGGTGTTATCAGGGTAATTACGATAAACAAAAAGGGATTCATGTGAATTGGGAATGATGGATGTGAAGATTAAGATAGATCTAATCAAAAAAAGGGAAGAGCGTAAGAGGTTTGTAATATTCAATTTAAGTATCAGGTGATCTAGTCGTAGGCCAAGGTAAACATAGAGGCTGGATACACTTTTTCTGGTTTTCGGGAGTTGATCCAGATGGTGTTGGCTATGTACAGTAACCGTAGTCTAGCACATTGAGGTAGATTTTTTGGAATTTGGTATAAGACAGAGAAAGCTTCATCTATCTTGACGTGATGTTCGCTATCTACCAAGTGAGAAATGATACTGCTGTTGGTCGACTTAGTGACTCCTTTTCCCAACCATGCTGGTACATATTCACGAACACGCAAGGATAAAGCCCTTTGAGTACGGTGTATGTAACTAGCTCCACAGGAGCAGTTGAACTGGTATGCACACATGGAGGAGCCCATCATCGGTAATCTATCCTAGATTTGATGTGAGTACTGGTTTAGTTCAGAAAATTATGTGTAACTTGGCATTGTGAAACGTCCTTTCAACAGATCTTTTGAGTCGACGTGTTAAAATATCACCCGTTATGTCCCCTTCAAAGTCCAGTCTCAGATATAGGGTGTTTTTACTGAGTCATAATTTCTTCTATTTCTAATACTTTGTGCTAGGAATTTTCTGAAGAAATTATCTGGATAGCCGTTATTTCGTAGTGTATTCTTTAGTATATCTACTTCGCTATCGACGCTGTCCTCAGAACATAATAGCTTGATTCAGTGGCTGAGACATTTAACTAAATTTATTTCATATTGAAGAGGTGTAAAGCTTTGGAAATGGGTATACTGACCTGTTCATCTATTATTTCTAAGTATATTTCGTTTTATGGAACCGTCTATCCTTCTTTAAAGTAGGACATCAAGGAAATTCATATTATTGTCTTTCTCTTCCTCGCCAGAGATGGCGCACTAATCGTATGTGACGAAAATATCGACAAACAAGGGTTGTTGGACATTTTCAATAACATCTACCCAGTTTTTAAATTCACCAGTCGTTTCTGGATTAATAAAACCTTTAGTGCACCATAGTGTTAAAAACCTAAGAAACTCATTATCAATTATTGTAAGTAATTTTTTAAACAATAAATTTTTAGTCGTTTGTAATTCTCAATGAAGAGTTGCTATTTTCAAGACACCCGACCGTTGTCGCTACCTTGACGTGGTGGTCGGGCTTGCCTATTGTGATGAAGCAACCAAGCTATATTGGCTGGAACAACTGTTCCCCAAGGTCCTACCATGTCAGACAGGTCGGTTGAAGAGCGGTGAGACTAAAAGCAACAAACCTAAGGTCCGAAGGCGAAGTCGTACTGCTGACTGTACAGAGGTGTGACAGCAGTAAGGTGTTTCCTTCAGACAACCAGCAAAACGGCGATGCTGCCTTCCCACAAGGAGGGGTGGGGTTAGAGAAGGTCGACCCTAAAAATGCACACCTCACCTTATACCACGGATATCCGTCTCCGGCGGTAAGGTCCCAAAAAGTACGGAGCTAACACAAAAATTACCCATAAAAAGGTCGTGTGTGACCGACCTCAAGCAGTTGTCCCTTCGGCACTGTGGTCACGCTCCCAGGTCACTAAGACCACCTCTAATCCAATTTCCTTTTCAGGTACCTCCAGAACAACCCTTTCACGGTGTGTGCAACCGGGAAGTGATAACCGCCCTCATACCTCTAACAGCACTCAAGACCACTGTATTCATAATCAACCTGTAATTTTTAAGACAATTTGTTTGCATTCATTACCACTAGAGTTCTAATGACATTAAAAGAAGGCTTACAAATTTACTTGACAACTTGTCTTTCTGATGTATAGTTGCTATCTCTCTCAGTTAGAAAAGTAGCTAAGTGACTTGAAATGAACATGATCCTAGGTTTTACTACTGGAAATTCAGTATTTTCAAACTGTCCAGTAATCTCGATAATGCAGTGAGAAACGAAAAATGAAATTTTACAGCTATCCAATAGTTTTTTTTCTTTCTAACTGTGGTCGTATTAAATTTGACTTATATTAAAAGATATTAAGAAATTGTAAAATAAAATGAAAAACTCTAGAGTTCTAGCTCGCTCCTACTTTAAATGAAAATACTTTAGCTCGATAATATGGCTTAGACAACGATACATTTATGCCTAACATTATTAGCTAAGTTGAATTTTCATGATTTGTTTCCCTGTTTAGAATGATTTTTAAAAAAATATCATTTGATTGATTAGTGAGATGTTGTATAACCCATTTTGATGAACCTTTTAAATTGGCACATAAATCAATGTATTCAGTCATTTTCATGAATTTTTTCGGTTTACGCGCACAATGTTAGTTGGTCCTCTATCAGATCACTGTTTCCTTCGTAGTGTTGGTTGCTTGGGTACCGAGCACTTCTTTTTTGAGCCTGGATAAGAAAACTAAAGTGGTGATCAATTTGTAACCCTTAACAACTATGTTTGTTCTGTTGACTTATCACCATATCTTTTATGGGTTCGTGAAGAGCAGTTCATTTAGAGTGTTGAGTTGTCATTCTACACAAACATTAAGTTGAGCTGAAAAGATAAATAGAATCTATTTTACTCATACATTTTTTAATATTCAGAATTATATAGTTTATCTACAGTGAATCATTCTAACTTCAAACCAAATGTTTCATTGAATGGAATAAATTACAGTAAAAAATATATTATTTATACTGAAATAATAGTATCAGTGAAGTACTTTGAGTTGTGGCTCATAATGTGAAGTAAAAATGTGAAATATTTCACCAAATACAGTATGAAGATTTATTCAGTGTTAATAAATAATTCGGATGTTATCTGGTTGACGTTAGCACGTGTAGGTCATACTAAATAATAACTTGTTAACCGAGATAAATGTCTTTGACCTTACGTGATCTCATTTAACTATGAACGCGTGTGTTTATGATTTTTATCAGGAATTATGAGTCTTGTTAACTTATCGGAGTATGGAATACATCTACACTGATGCTAAGTAATTATTCAATAGTATTAACCAGTCTTATGTTCACTAAGCATGAGTGGTGATCAATTCTAAACCATGTCATTCAGTTTTCAGTCACTGGTGGACGTTATCACGCAAACTTCAACTAGGTAATCTGTATCTACCAATATCAATTAGATTAACAATAAGCGACTTCACAGACTAATACCATAT